AATGTCCGTCTATATCCCAGGATATAGAAATTCAGATAAATATTTTATAATTATTTTTAGTAGAGGTTCATAAGTAACCAATGGTTATTAAATAACGTCGAAAGAAAATAGAGGTAAAAAATATTCCCAACAATCTGCCTTTGATTTTGCCTACTAAGGAGAAAATCATCCTTATTAGGAATCTTCAGCAATAAATGGAACTTCTCGACTTCAGTCTCTAATGAAGTCTGTTTCTGAAACAATGTCGATCAAACTCAATTACGGCGGGTTAAGCATGAGTAGATACGAAAGTGGTATCGCCATCTATACTTAGGAAGCAAAATCAAAAATTACATCTAGTAGATATCCACGATGGTTTGCGTCCGCGCTTAGACTTTGATATATTTATATTTATAGTGGATGTCCATGGGATATTGAATACACCTTAAAAAAAATTAATTTTAAATATCTCAACGGTACTATTAGCCACAATGGCGAGTACAATGGCGTAATTTTTTAATAATTTGCTATATAATTACAATTATTTATGGACATTTGCATGTCTATAAATTACATTTCATGGATATAAAATAGATATCCACCATGGACTGGACATTCAGTGGATATTGGGATGTTCAGTAGATATCCAAAGGATTTGGTGTGCTGTCTGGGTACCTATTATGAACAACTTATTTTTCATTTTATTTCAATAATACACTACTTTATTTATGTTTTTTAATATTATTTTTATTTTCAGTAATTATATTATTATTTTTATATATCTACCTATATATGATATAGATATATAAGATTATAAACTTCTTAAAAATATAGGTACATAAGGTACACCATATTTTTGTGTTTTATTTATTTTCCTAAACAAAACGTTATGATCATTATTGGCCTTGTCGGATAACCACAAATCTGGCTTATCTACTACAAATATGAAAGAAACATTAAGTTTATCTGTAAAAATATTAAATTAAAATCACATTATTCGTTTTATTAAAAAAAAATTCGAAATACCAGTTATATTAAAAACATTTTAATCACTTATTTTGAATATTCTATTTACTGCATTCATAATTTTTAAAACGCCCTCCATTATTTAAATACATTAAAAAACTATTTAAACACGTATTTTTAATATCCTTACTTACTGTATTAACAGTTTTTAAAAGTCCCTTCATTTTTGTATCTGACAATTATTGAAATACGTAAAAAGATTCCTTTTACATGTTTTTAAACTTTGCCGCGTATATTTACATCATTCTTATGACAATTTAGCGAGCATGCGCATTATATGGAGCCACCAGTGGCATTTAGCATCTCGTCTTCTTTGGGGTGGTCAGATTTTTAATGACAGTTGACGTTTTTGTCGCTTATTTCTACACGGAGAAAAGTAAACTCTAAAATTGCAAATTAGCGATGTACAATTAGAAAAAAATTAAAACATGTACATATAACATTTTAATGTATTCTAGGCAAATAAATTAATCAAAATATTGTGTAACTTAAATAAATGAGTTCCGGTGAAAATCTAGATGTGCCAATTTTAAAATTTTATCATTAGAATAAAATAAATTACTTTTGTATGCCATTCATTGTATGAAATGTGTTAAACAGTTTTTGGTTTCTTCCTGGAACTAATAAATTAACTCAGCACCTTATTTTTTTATTTAAAATGAGGTTATGTAGGTATCTTTTTAGAAGTGAAACAACATATAGCAATAATATTTATTAAAACACACAATTACAAATTAGTAAGTTTTTAATGAATTTACAATACAAGAATTATTTTATTTCAATTTTTGTTCCTACGTACAAATTTTTGACTTCAGATGAGTTTTAGCAAATGCCTGTTGTAAGTCACCCGTTAAGCAAAATGCTGCCCAATTGCTTATATTACCTATGTATATAATTAAATACTATTAACGTCACATCATAAAAATTAGATGTTTATATTTAACGATTTTATGGTTTAAAATTTGTATGGGAATGGTTATCTGCTGCGGGATTTAAATATTTAATGGCTAGAAGAATCAACAGTGACTGTCTAGAAAAATTTGTTGGGTCCATTAGGCAACAGGGTGGGAATTTAATTAATCCAACACCTGTACAATTCGAAAGGGCATTCAAAAAACGTTTTTGTCAAAATTATCTTCATTGCAATTCCATGAATTGTAATGAAGACCTGGACAAGCACTTGCTACAATTAGATGCAAAAAATATTGTCTCTCTGTATCCTGAAATAAATAAACACTCGAGAAGCTGTTTTTCTTCCTAATTACAGCTACAGGACAGAAGATATAATAGTTCAAAATCCATTTAAATATGTTTGTGGCTATTTGATCAAAAAAGCTTTAGGCATACATGGATGTGATACATTTATTAAATTTTCAAAAGAATGTGACGATTAGGATAGTTCACAGATTTTAACATATGATTGCAAATAAAGCACTTATGGAGGCCTAAAAACTCCAAATGAAAAGTTTATTATCTATATATTTAAATTATAAAAAAATGTTATATCTATTTTTAGCAATACCTGTGTAATGTGTCTGGTATATCCCATAGCTTTTTTTGATATTATGAAAGAAATAGAATTTAATCATCCTTGTCCTAATTTCCCTAATGTATATATCATACAACTGTTTATAAGATTATATATATTATTGTTTAAGTGCTTAAATATTGTATAAATAAAACAAATCAAAAATTAAAAAACAGTTAAAATAATAACACCACAAAATACATTTTTTTGTTTTCTTTTTGCTACTTTACAAGAAATACATATATATTTTGATTAGATGTAGTCAATCAGAACATTTTTAATCAATGGACATAGTGAATCAAAGAACATCTAATTCATTATAATAATTTGGAGGTAGGATTTTTGATTAAGAATGTCCAAAGGTTGCACATGGTACGCTTTCAAAAATGTCTCGTTCATGTTCAATGATAGTCTCAACAGAGGAAGCACTTGGTCGATGTACTAGGGAGAAGATAGACATTTGGCTGATGACCTAGATGGATAAAAAATGTGGGAACAGCAGTAGGCAATAAACGTTTACGGTTCAACGTTTTAGAAAAACAATTCTTCTCACACAACCTGTAATTCCGATGAAGACTGTTCACATCTATGTTACTCAAATCTTCCCTATTACAAGCTCTTAACCACATGTTGGCCCTAAAATATAAAAAAGTTGATAACAAATGTTTAGATTGAGGGTAGTTCAGAAATTATATATTTTTTAATTATTTTTGTTGAAATTGTAAAAATTGTCCTCAAGACATTTAAATAATAAATATTTGGTTGTCAAATAAATATTTGGTTTTCAAATATAAAAACTGAAAGTATTTTCTCAAGACATACCTTTATGGCTCCATGGGAAATGCAAAATAACTTGTCCCTTTGTCTGTTTACTCTGTTTGAGATGGACAAGGGCGATAGACACATCTCTTTTTTTCTGATCAGGTGCAGAAGCCATTTCAAAAATATCACACAATAAATGAAAAACTAAAATAATAAAAATGTCTCAAAATATGCACTGCAAACAAACAAAAATAATGACATATTTACATCGCATTGACACTATTGACGTTGACGTTTTTGTCGCTTATTTTCGGACATGCGCAGAAAAATATGGACACCTCATAAAAAATGATCTGTCGCTACTGTATTATTCTTTATACTGGGGTTTCCCTATTATTGAATGTCATATGTCAAATTTAATTAGGCATTCCAAACTGAATGGCTATCAGTGGGTTATGATATGGCAAAATTATGGCAAAATTATGGCAACCCTGTAGGCCTGGTGATTTAACAAGGCCAATGAAATAGATAGTTACATAGATGGATTATCCATATTTTTCAAAATAAACATAAGCTTATGCCTTGAAGTAAAAATGTAAGCAATTATTTTTTTTTAAATATCTAAAGGCTAATAATTGGTTTTAAAACACATTTTTGCTAAATCGATTCAAATTAATAAATATTTGCCAGGTAATATGGCCGCTCGTAAACGACCAGCTTTGAGCAATCTATATAACTATATATGTATCATTGACCCTGTTAATGACAACTTGACAACTGGGTTGCCATATCTAAACTGTCATTACTCACTGGTAGCCATTTGGACAGGTCGTTGGAATGCCTAATTTAAGTTTGGGGATTTCTAAACGGAATTTGAATTTTAGAAATTTTATGATGTTTTGACTTTATTATTTTTTATTATAGTATGTTCTAGTAAGCTTATAAATAAATGCCTCGTTAGATATAGCTACATATGCTTTGGTAACATGTAACCAAAGCAGAGTAACCAAACGTTATAAAGAAATGCTCTGGTTACAGAAGTATGTTCTGGTAAGCTTATAAAGAAATGCCTTTGATGATCCTTTTTAGTGCATTTCGATACGCACATGTGGGCGCCAAAGTGTCAAATATCATCTCGCTATTAGGCATTCCAACGACCTGTCCAAATGGCTACCAGTGGGTAATGACAGTTTAGATATGGCAACCCTGTTGTCATGTTGTCATTAACAGGGTCAATGATACATATATAGTTATATAGATTGCTCAAAGCTGGTCGTTTACGAGCGGCCATATTGCCTGGCAAATATTTATCAATTTGAATCGGTTTAGCAAAAATGTGTTTTAAAACCAATTTTTAGCCTTTAGATATTTAAAAAAAAATAATTGCTAACATTTTTACTCCAAGGCATACGCTTATGTTTATTTTGAAAAATATGGATAATCAATCTATGTAACTATCTATTTCATTGACCTTGTCAAATCACCAGGTCTACAGGGTTGCCATAATTTTGCAATATCATAACCCGTCAAAGCCCACTGGTAGGCATTCAGTTTGGAATGCCCAATTGGCTTGATTTTGTTGATCGGCTTTGTTCTTCCAGTTTAATATGTAGTTCAGTGTAGAAAACGCCTAATATTTCTGGATTACAGGTTAACCAACGTAAATGAAATATGACATTTTCCTTTTGTTTTTCTTAGATTGTCATGCGCGTGTGCAGATTATATCGACATTTTATCAGCTTTTGTTATATTTTCAAAATATTGACAAAAAATCAGCTGTTTGTTTAAGATATAAAAATCTTTATGATATTAGTTGATACATTAATGGGTCTTTTAGCCATGTACCATATACCATGGGAGCTATTGCATCTGTCCTACAATGGCATTGTACTTTTTGTAGTTTGATCAATCCAACTGAAAGGAAAAAATGTATCCGATGTGGAACACCACGACAAAGTCTCAATGATTCTAATTTACCCTTCAGTGAATCTAATTTTGACAGTAATTCTAGTTGTACAGTAATTAGGCGTGCAAGGTCCCCAAAGAAGGACTTAGTTAAAAGGTAGGATAACATTGTTGCTATTTATATTGTCATGAAAGATCAATAAATGCAGGTCAATTTTTTTCAGTGCTGTGAATAATACTGCTGTAGATGAACGTGTGATTCTCCTTAACACCTCATCAGTAGCTAAAAAATGTGTAGAACCCACTAAATTAAAAAAGTTTATCAGTTTACCATCAGTGTTGTTCACTTCGTATTGTGAATCTTGTGATATTAATTTCTTGACAACACTACACAGATGTATAATCTGTAATTCACGTTTCAAAACCATGAACATCACAGAATCTCCTTGCAAAATTTGCTCTTTGAATCCAATACAAAAATACGATATTTTAAACTACAGTAGGCCTTATATATGTAAATGTCAAAGAAACAAGTCTTTATCATTGATAAAAAGTTTAAGCTGCTCTGTGGCTCAAAAAAGCTGTGATTCTTCAATAGACGGTCAACAACAGAAAGATATAAGAACTACTGCCAGTGGTATAAATAATATTTCGTATAGTCCAAGTAGTAACTACATGTGGACGGTTAAAAGTTTGGTACCATCAACAACTTGGACTTGCAAGCAATGTACTTTACTAAATAGTGCTAATTATACAGTGTGTGAGGCTTGTGAGTCCCCATATTCTCCTGATTTGAACAGTAATATAAAACCTAGTGTCATTATCAAGGTAATGTTCAAAAGTATGTTTTGCTTTAGATGGAGTTGTTTTATACTTCTTAGTTAACACTGACACTAGTTAGTTTATTATTTTAACAGTTTGTTTTATTTAATATGTGTTTTTAGTTTTGCACAATTACAAATGTAATATTCATTGCTTCTGGTTATGCTAAACTACTGTCTGGTTGTTGAAAATTAGTGTTTTATCATTTATGCATGAATATTTTTATTCACAGTAGTAGTTACTTTTTCTTTCTTTTGTTAATTTGATTTTGAAAATGATTTTGTTTTCTCTAATGCCTAGTTTCACACAAATTAGTTCAAATAAATAATTATGTTTCTACTAAATATTGATTAAGAATGGTTGGTATTGTATGAAGTATTTTGATCTTTCCAATGGACTATAATTGGGTCATTTCAACGTTTAACATTTACAAAGTACTTTAACAAAATTTTGCCTTTCAGATATCACTGCAGTCTGAAGAAATAATTATTAAAGTTGAAAATTTTGTCCCATATGTCAGGTGACATGTACCAATAAATTCAGTGAATTTAAATTGTGTTGCCAAATGTCTACTTTTCTTCTCCTATTAATCCCATCTTTTGTATGAGGCTGAAGCTAGGTCAAACTGCATGTCAGTGATATTATTATTCGGCAAAATCTTTGGTTTAGGTGGACTTTAGTATCATGAAAGTTTAGAAGTAAATAAAAATTAGTGTATTTATTAAAAAAAATGGATTTATTCAATTTGAATTATTAGTTAAAACAAGATCTTACAGAAAAACGGGGATAAAACAAACATATTTACAATGCGATTATAAATATAATTTTTATACCAAATATTCATTAGGTTTTTGATAATTGATTTAACAAAAAATTATGGCTGAGCAAGGATTTAAAATATGTTTTTTTTTGTTGGTCTTTTTAAAGTCAGGTGTTTTGTCGTTAAACGACTATGAGAACAAAGAGACCAAAAAAACACATTAAGCATGAGATTACAAATAGTATTTTTATACCAATAATTTAATACACTACTAGCGATAAATAAAAAATCATTAAATAACAAGATATCTAAATATAGTTTTTAGGTCTTTAAAAATTTGCGGTTTTGAGGAAAAACGTTACTTTATCAAAATGACAAAAAACAATATTTATCACGAAAATCCAGGTATAATTTTTAGTATGAATGATTCAATATATTATTATAGTTCAAAAAAATAATAAATCATTACATAGCAAGGCCTGTAAATACATTTTTTAGGTCTTTTAAAAAGCGCGGTTCCGCGGATAAACCTTACTTTATCAAAATGACAAAAAACAATATTTAGCACGAAAATCCAGGTATAATTTTTAGTATTAATGATTCAATATAATATTATTATAATTCAAAAAAATAATAAATCATTACATAACAAGACCTGTAAATATGTTTTTTAGGTCTATTAAAAGCGCGGTTCCGCGGATAAACCTTACTTTATCAAAATGACAAAAACCAATATTTAGCACGAAAATACAGATATAATTTTTAGTATGACTGACTCCTTACATTAGTACAATTTAAAAAATTAATAAATCATTACATAGCAAGACCTCCAAATACGCTTTCTAAGTCTTTAAAAATGCGCGATTCCGCGGATAAACCTTACTTTATCAAAATGACAAAATCCAATAATTAGTACGAAAATTCAGGCATAATTTTAAAAATGCGCGGTTCCGCTGATAAACATTACTCTTTCAAAATAAGGAAAACCAACATTTAGCACAAAAATCCAGATATAATTTTTAGTATGAATGACTCCATACATTAGTATAATTTAAAAAAATTAATCATTACATAGCAAGACCTGCAAATACGTTTTTTAGGTCTTTAAAAATGCGCCATTCCGCGGATAAACCTTACTTTATCCAAATGACAAAAACCAATATATAGCACGAAAATCCAGGTATAATTTTTAGTATGAATGATTTAATATATTATTATAATTCAAAAAAAAAAAATAAATCATTACATAGCAAGATCTCTAAAAACTCACCAAAAAAAGAAAAATAAAGCCTGCCGCTAGGCAATAATTGAACTAGGCACAAAAACCTTAACAGTAACAGGCACAAAATTAGAGATTAGTATCTCTGCACTCCTTAAACAAAGTGTCAATGGGCTCATAAACCTTAACAATCACTTGATTCAAAGATAATACCAAGTGTTACTATGAACACGTTAAAGTGTCGTTACGCACAAAACTATTAAAAAGATATGCATTAGCTTAATAAAAAATACAGCAGAGCTACTTGCATAAATTCAAGTCGAGATCAGTACAAAAATTGTCCATTAATAATTATTGGACAATTTTTTAACTTCAAAAGGGCCTAAGTGCCAAAATTTTAAAAATTACATATTTGCATAATCCTAATGATATCCAATAAGGGAAGCTTAAAATGACATTGTCAATGGAGAAATGTCATTTTAAGCTTGGCTTATTTCTTAACGACTAGTGGTGCAAATGGACCTAGTCGTTTGACAACAAAACACCTGACTTTAGAAAGACCAAAAAAATATATTTTAAATCATTGCTTGGCCATAATTTTTTGTTTAATCAATTAATAAAAACCTAATGAATATTTGGTATAAAAATTAAAATTATAATCACATTTTAAACGTGTTTGTTTCATTCCCGTCTTTATGTAAGATTACCTTGTTTTAACTAATAATTCAAATTGAATTATTCCATTTTTTTCAATGAATACACTAATTTTTATTTATTTCTAACTTTGATGCTACTAAAGTCCACCTAAACCAAATATTTTGCCGAATAACAATATCAAAATATTAAGCGACCGCCGCGAGGTTTGTCTGCTAGTTTATCTGCTAGCTTCAGCCTCATTATTTTGTGTATTGTAGGAAGAATGAAATAGAAAAATAATTAGTTGTCTCTTCTTTATTTTAACAATTCTGGACAATGCATGAAGTAATGTAGCAACTAAATAAAAAGGGTGGTGCTGATTAAAATTTACTAATAATATATTTTAAAATTTGTGTAGTTGATGTGAATTTAAAACAAAAATAATAACCTATGATAAAAATTGCAATCCATTATTTTTTTTTACTTGGATAGACCTTTAAGTTTTTATAAATTAAAGCACAAAAAATGATATATATATATCTGGACATACAAAAATGAGTTTTTTCTTTCTGGACTTCTGATATCCAATGGATGTCCAGTGGAGTATATAAATGAAACACTTTTGACCATTCAGTCTATGTTCCTTTCTGGATTATGTTTTGACATTCTATATCCACAAATAAATTTTAAATAATAACCAATGGATGGCCAATGGACGTCCATTGAACGTTTTTAATAGGATACTTGACATTCAAAAAAATGTCCCTTTCTGGATTATATTCCATTGCATCATTTACTTTGGGACCACCACCACATCTCCATTTTTTTACACATACACAACCCACCCACACCCTATTTTAGATTATTCATAATTTATTTATTTTGCAACTCGCCATACACCTTAATTATTTATTCATGTTCTACACTTCCAGATGATATACGACCTCGACACTAAAAAATTTGTTACTAGATATGATTTTAATAGAATAAGATTTCGCTGATAGAATAAACTGCAAAAGATTCATTTTTTTTAATTTTTAATTACCAATTATGTTTAAAACAAAAAATAAAGTATGTATGGATAAATATTATCTGGTAAACTCAATAAATAATGACCTAAGATGGACGTCAAAATTCTACTAAAGTTAAAATTAAGTACAAAAACAAATGTTCACTGGATATTGATATGCAGCTGTCAAATTCATGTTTGTAAACGGACATATACTGGATGTCCAAATACGGCTATGACCGTTCTTACCCTCAAATGGATCTAAAATGGACGTCCATTGAACTGTCTGGGTAAGCATATGTTCTAATGTAGCTAAAAAGAAAGAGGCATATTTACTACCTAGTAATATTTATATGATACAGTATGGAAACCACTAATGGAATAAAATGATTGTTGATATTATTTTAAAAATCCTGAAATATACTTGGACACATCAATTTTTATTTTAATCTAGGCATTTTACGTGACAGTGTGACAGCAACCCCTATTATTTTTTTTTTAATATTAATATAGATGGTGCGGCACTTCATCGAAAAGGTATGAACAATTAATTGAAGTATTTTTTTATTTTAGCGCCCTTTACCCAGACAACGCAGCAAATCCCATATATATCCACAGGATATCATAGATATCCAGTGGATCTTATATGGATATCCAAATGTCCGTCTATATCAAGGATATATAATATATTTTGGGGATATCCAGCAAAACGGTACTATTAGCCATAATGGCGTTATTTTTTAATGATTTGTTATGTAATTACTATTATTTATGGACATTTGCATATCTATAAATTACATCTCATGGATATAAAATAGATGTCCACCATGGACTAGACATTCAGTGGATAATGGGATGTCCACTAGCTATCCAAAGAATTTAGTGTGCTGTCTGGGTAGCGGGATACAAAACTGTCACGTATTATGAAGTGTGTCACTTCATTTGAAAGTTATAATTTTATTAGTAATTCAATGCACTGTATAACATTATCTTAACTAAAGAAAAAATTAAGTTAAAATTAAAAAAGGTTACTGTAGTAACACGTTACTTCACTGGACACCGATAGCTACAGCCAGAGATAACAGGAGATGTAACTACTAACAAATATCGTGCGGTCCTGAATAAGACATATTCTAAGGGACACAGGAGGGTTTACAAAAATATTTACATATATTAAAAAAGCTAAAATATTTCAACCTATTTTATTTCAACTGTAACCAAAAAAAAAATTGAATCATTAGTTATATCAAATTTAACTAAATTAAATGTAATTATTTACAATAAATTCCAAAACCTAGTAATCGTAAGTTGGAAGTGGCAACAGGGCTTACACCGTTACGTTGTTTATTAAAAGCGCACATCGCTTACTCCCTGGCTTACAC